TGTCAGGAAGTTTCTCCTGAATTCCAGATTGCTTCTCTCTTTGATCAGTTTCCAACCATTGTTTCTTAGCCTGCCCTCTGGAGCTTTGGTGAATAACTTGACCCCCTCTTCTTGGTGGCAGCCCCTCGGAGACTGGAATAACTGCTATCATGTCACCCCTGTTTCTTCTTTTCTTTAGATTAACCAAACCCAAGTCCCGCAGCTGTTCTTTGTATGTTTTAGTCTCCAGGCCTTTGATCATCTTAGTTGCTCTTCTCTGAATTTTTTCCAAACTCTCAACATCTTTTTTGTGATATGGTGACCAAAACTGGCTGCAGTATTCCAGGTGTGGTCTTACTGGGGCTTTGTAAAGCAGCGGTACTAGTACTTCCAATAAAGCTAGAAGTATAGGAATAACCTGGCCATTATGCAGGCAGACCTGACCATATACAACAACTTTTGCTACCAGTGCATACCTTTCAATGTTTCTCATCTGAACGATTTCCTGAAGGGGTCCCCACTTATTCTGTGAAGTCCTTTGTGATAATAGTCTCCAAAATGCTTTTCCAAAAGGCAACTGGACTTTTTTTGGGGGGGTGGGGGGGTTGCTTGAAAACGTTTCACTTCTCATCCAAGAAGTATCTAACTGAAAAGTCTTCTTAGATGAGAAGCAAAACATTTTCAAGCAAAAAACCCAAGAAAGTCCAGTTGCCTTTTGGAAAAACACTTTGGGGACAAACATCACCTAGATGATTGAGAATCACCACAGACAATTTGGGATGGTACTATAACTGGGGTAGAGAAATTCGACGTGAAAAATTCTTAGAAGGCAGAATGCCACTAAGTGCGTAGCTCTCTCTCTAAGCAAACGCTTATATTTTTAAAGCTTTCAGAGAATTTGAAGAATTTTGAGGCTTGCCTCTGCTCCTTAACATTTCCTAAAAGTCTAATCCTGGCTTTTAAAAAAAAAAACCTGCAATTTTTTGAACTGCAATACAGTCACTTTTCGGATGCCAGGATCAATCAGACACATCAATGTCTATGATGTGAAAGACATTCATAAAAGTGAAATAACTTGAATCTAAAATATTTTATAAACACTGAGAACAAAAGTATACTGTGAACAGATCTTCCATGTCTGCAAAAAAAATAACCAGTAATTGATAGCTCACTTATCTGCTAAAATGCTATCGTTCTTTTAATAGCATTCCTGAGATTGTTTCACTGTTTCCATAAGATCTAAACATTTTGATTACCATTCCTTCTGTGTGGGAGGATAGAATCTTTTGCCAGTCTCCTTCTCCTCATAAATTTTTAGCTGTGACTTAACAGATGAACAATAAATGAACATAACTCCACAGTCATAATTTGAGCAGAAATCTGGCTGGATTTGGCTTGTAAGAATAAAACAGGAATATACTGTAAGAACAAAGAAAACTGCTCTGTAGGCTTTACTTTTAGCCATTCTTTTAGCAACCAGATACAACACGCACTGAAAAAAGTAATTTACAAGCAATCTTCACACTTATGACCATTGCAATATCCCCAGGGTCATGTGATCAATTCGGATGCTTGGCAATCGACCTGCATTTACAACAGTTGCTCTGTTCCAGGGTCATGTGATCACCATTTGCTGACTTTCACATCCAGCCAAGTCAATGGGGGGAAGCTGAATTTGCTTAATGACCTCCTGAGACGTTTAACAATTGCAGTGATTTCTTAACGTCTGTGGACACGACTTACATAAAAATTGCCTTACTTAGCAATGTAAGTAATTCAAATCCCATTTATAAGTCAAGGACTATCAGTATACTGATTCAGATTTTAGTTATATTGAAGCTAATGTTAGTGACAGTGACTAGCAGTGGTTCTCCAGTACGTTCAAGGTGTTCCCAGCCCCACCACCTATAGGTGCTGGGACTAAACCTGGCATTTTTGTATGCAAATATTGCACAGGAATTTTGTGTCTCCTTTTTCCTCTGGAGTGTACCATGCTTTTATTAATTCCTTTAAGACAGGGGTAGTCAACCTTGGCTCTTTTATGACTCGTGGACTTCAACTCCCAGAATTCCTGAGCCAGCTAAGCTGGCTCAGGAATTCTGGGAGTTGACGTCCACGAGTCATAAAAGAGCCAAGGTTGACTACCCCTGCTTTAAGATGTCATGGAATCATTCTATGGCAGTGTTTCTCAACCTTGGCAACAACTTTAAGATGTCTGGACGTCAACTCCCAGAATTCCCAGAGTTGAGCCAACATGCTGGCTGGGGAATTCTGGGAGTTGAAGTCCAGACATCATAAAGTTGTCAAGGCTGAGAAGCACTGTTCTATGACAAGACAATGCATCAATCCAAGACTGACTGTTAGGAAAGGGGGAAAGGGCTATTAGGTTGCCATAGATCAGTGGTGGCGAACCTATGGCACGCGTGCCAGAGGCGGCACTCAGAGCCCTCTCTGTTGGCACGTGCGCCACCGCCGCCAGCAGCAGGTCCATCAGGCCACCACCGCCACCTGGAGTAGGAGCCCCGCCCAGCACAAAGGAGGCGAAGTGGCCGACTAGCAAGCTCGAGTAGAGTTGGTAGAGTAGAGGTCACCAACCATTGTCGATTGGCGGACTGGAAAAAAAGAAAGGGGGAAGTATTTTACATGCATGCATGTGCACATGGGGCCGTGAGCATCGACACACTGCAAATGGGGCGGGGCTAGTGCCTGCATGATACTCACTAGCCCTGCCCTGTTCTTATGTGGTGCAGCACCTTGTATCTGCACCCTACGGTGAGGTGGCCGCCATTTTTGCATCTTGCAGCATGGTGGCCCATTTTTGTGCCCCCGGTTTTTACATGCCACAGGCAGCACTAAGAGGAGCCTCTCTGCCCCCCCCCTGAGGGCACCACAATGCTGATGCGGCCCTGGCACTTTGCAATAAATAAGTGGGTTTTGGGCTGCGGTTTGGGCACTCGGTCTCTAAAAGGTTCGCCATCACTGCCATAGATTGTCCCAAACCTCACCACATTTCTGAAATGTCTTTCTCTGTCCTGAAATTTCAAGACTTCTCCTTCTTTCAGAGGATCAAAGAGTGCTGAAAAATGAACATACAGTTCAACTTAAGCTTTAATACAATATACAGGAGCCCTGGTCGTTAAAGTGCAGTACTGCAAGCTAACTCTGCCCACAGCCAGGAGTTCGATCCTGACGGGCTCAAGGTTAATTCTGCCTTCCACCCTTCCAAGGTCCTGTAAAATAAGAACTCAGATTGTTGGGGAAAATGGGCTGACTCTGTAAACCATTTAGAGATGATGATCAGGGGAGGAAAAAGATTCAACTGCCTAATCAAGGTTAGGTCTGAGTCACAGGGAACCAAGAATCCAGGGAAGCAAAACAGAAAGACCACTCAGAAAACCAGGCTGGATTTTCTGGCAAAACATTAAAACCCAGGAAAATGCTTGCTGCTCAGACAAAATACCAGCACTAAAAGGAAGCATTTGGTAGCATTTCTTTATCCAACAGGCTTCAAAATTAAAGTCAGTTCTGAGCTAGCGAGTTCTTTGCCCCAAATATTCCAGTTTATAGTTCTGGAGATTTGCAGAGAACTAGAGCTTCCTTATTCTATTCCTGGCAAATTCACCACACTGACGTTTTTTTTATCCTCAGTCCCTTGTCTTTAAAATGTGTGGCAGGTTTTTCTGAAATGTTCTTCCTCCCCGTCCCAAAATCATGTATGATTAGTTATCAATATACATCAATTTACTCGAATGCAAAAAATCTCCCTTCAGTGATATTTTGTTTCCACCAAAAAAAACCCTAAGTTTTGATGTAGTTTAACCAGGATCCCAAATGTGCTTCTTCACAAGGCAATTGGACTTTATATTTATATTCCTTGAAGACAGCTGGTCAATTAATATACATCCATCCATTCCCCATCATCCAGTCAGAGCTGAAGAAGCTTCTTGGATGAGAAACGAAACATCTTCAAAGAAAAACAAGAAAGTCCAGTTGCCTCTTGAAAAAGCACCTTTGGGACAACCATGACCTGGATGACTGAGAATCTCCACAGACATTTAAACCAGGAAGTAGCTGTTAATATGTTTTCCAGGTAGACAGTTTTAGTGACCGGAAGCAGAAAGGAAGAGAAGTTGAAACAGGCATATCGGAAGTCATCTAGTGGCATTTCTTCACAGTGACGTATAGCTATTGCTAATGTCATCCCAACCATGATTGAAGCCATTAACATTTGTACGTATTACTGTTACTGCATGCCGATGGCTGAGTCACCAGTGGGGATCCCTACCTCGGATGGCAGCTTGACACTTTGGCAGACTCTGCCAGGCACATACAATTTCACATTTGCTCGTGGGCAACAAGCATGGCTATCTGGGCTATGAGTTACAAACCTTGGACTGCTCTGTGACCATAATAAATATTGATATTATTAATAAAGGTTGGTCATTTCATGAGACTCTGCTTCCATCCTTGTGCTTTGGGCTAGTTTGGTTATTTGTGGTTGACTTCATCTCCATCTTAGAATGTTCCCCAGGGTTAGGATTAGACGTGATCACAACCCCCCCCTGCTTACCTTCAGAGGTAACGATACCAGGGTGTCAAAGGAGGAGGGTGGCATGATGGCCCATTGGCATAAGGACTCCTCCCTTAAGGTAGGGGGTTGGTCTAGAAGACCTCCAAGGTCCCTTCCAGCTCTGTGATTCTGTACTTCTACTTTGACTGATTGAGTTACAAACCAGAAGCCAGCTTCCCTAAACAGGGGTTCTGAAAGTGTCAAGTCAGCAGTGTCTACTGCTTTAAAAAGGAAGAATTAATTTGGCCTTTTTTACAAAGGTGGTGAAGAAATAAAAGTAAATGTAGGCTTTTAGCTTTCTCAGCTTTTTTGTTGTTGTTTTGTTAGTATAAACTACATATTTTCCACAATTCCACAGGAATGCAAGGCTCAAACATGGAGAAATTATTCACGCTGTAGTTTGGTGCAAAGGAAGTCTTAACTAAAGAAACAGATTCCATATTAGCTTTTCTTTCATCCTACCTGAACATATTTTAGTAATTTCATTAAGCTTTAAACCAGTAAGGGTGTCGCTTGTAAAACACCTTGTGGAATGGCACAAACATCACATATCTGGTATAATTTTTAACTTCCAAGCTCAGGACAATTTAGCAACAATTTTCACTTACCAGCTTGAAAGGCAGAAGCATCAGGATCCAACTCTAGTAAGCATCTGTGAATACAACAAAGGGCTTTGTGTTAAAAAGGGCCACAATTTCAGCAAAAATGGAGCAACGTTGAACGTGTTGGAAAAGGAAAGGAACAAATCCAAAGATGGAAAGTCAATACGTGATCAGAATTGTGAAAATTCAAACACATAACTAGATCAGAAACTAATTTATGAAGGGTAGGGTATTCTCTGGAAGGCTAAAGGATATGGGACTGAGTGTTGAAGTAGCAAGGAGATTTAACCAAAAGATTAGGATCCTGCCTAACATTGAATACGTCTTTTAAGATGGGAGTAATAAATCATTAGAACAACAAATGCATCAACCTTTCACTTCAAAAGCACCTACTGTTTATTTAAACTGCATTTCTTCATTAATTGGGTTCTTTTATTTAATTTCTTGTCACAATTGCTTTGAAAGAAAACCCAGTTTTACAGCTGCATTTGGTGCACTGGAATTTTGTTTTACGACTGACTTTAGTCTATAAAGGTTTTATACTATTTTACATCATTTGATCTGAGGATTCTCACCATTAAATTAAAATCCCCAAATATGGTACACTGAGAAGAACACTAAGATTCAAGTCAGCCAAAGCTCTGTTCGAACTTTCTGTCAGCAATAGTGCTGATAAGACATATAAAATAAATGTCTAATCAATTTCTTTGGAAATGGATAAACGAAATAGTTTATATATAGTCTCTGCTTCAGCATTGAGGGGTATAACTAACATCCATCTTTCTCAGCTCAAAACTTCCACAATAATGTGTATGATCAATGCACTCAAGAATAAATACATTTATGGAAGTTACACATTGAAAGATGTCAAGTATGGTGGTGCAGTGGTTAGAATGCAGTATTGCAGGCTGACTTTGCCCACAGCCAGGAGTTCAATCCTGACTGGCTCATGGTTGACTCAGCCTTCCATCCTTCTGAGGTTGGTAAAATGGGGATCCAGATTGTTGGGGGCAATATGCGATGTTGTAAACCCCTTAGAGCAGACATGTCAAACTCGCGACGTCACGTGACGTCGCGCAACGTATCAGAGCTTTTTCCCCATTGCCGGCAATGGGATGGGCGCGGTTTCCTTGTGACGTGTCCGGCCTGCGGGCCAGCAGTTTGACACCCCTGCCTTAGAGAGTGCTTTAAAGATTATGAAGCGGCAGATAAGTCTAAGTGCTATTGCTATGTAGTGATGCAAAGAGAAAGCGTGTTTATATCTGAAAAATGTCAATTTACAAAAGTACATAATGGAAATTGATATAATGAAGAAGATAATCAGGGAAATGTCTATTAAAGGACACTTTTTTTCGAAGAATAAATGTTCACTTAAATAAATATGTAAGTGAAGCTATGTACAGAAGTACTGAATGATAGAAAACATACCTACAAAAATGTGTAGAATTTTAAAGCCTTGCTAGGTTAAATTATTTTTATGTGATTTGGGGAATTATATAAAGAAAACAGAAAAAGCAGCTTTAGGTTATAACTCCTTTTTCCATATATATAAAAAATAACTCTTGTGATGGGTCTCTCCACATTGCTTTCACGCATTTTTCTCAAACTAAAGCTATCTGAATCATATGCAACAATATTAGAAGCATCTGGTTAACAAGCTAGCCAGTTATATGATTAATTTATTAGATAAATCATGGGATTTTTTTTTTATGTTTGTGCATGGTTACCCAACTGGAAACTACATATGTATCTGTCCTTTACTAGAAAATATCTCATGTGAAACAGCTCATAATCTTCCAGGGCTTAAAAAAATCTTTTTTTTCCCTTCCTTCCACTCCTCAGTCTCCCATTACCACAAATTGTTCCTACACACCCCCATGCACACTCCCAGCCCTATTTTGCACTGACCCATTGTTCAAAGCAATGCCTTAAACAGTTCATATTTTGTTAATTGTACAAGCTTAATGGAGGAATGTATTGGTAAGAAGAGGAGGGTAACGGCCATCAGGCCAGCAATAAAGCAAAATTAATGGTCCATAGGAAGAAATCATGTCCACTTAATATCAGCTTTGAAACTCTAATAAAATAATGTGGTATCAACAGCAGCAGTGCGTTCTGTCTCATTCTTGGACACTCATACACAATGTACGCAGATTGCTTACACCACATTAAATCACTCATAAAACAGACCCAGTTCAAGTGAAGATCACAAGATCCTCCGGGGAGCATAGCAAACCAGAAATGTGTTGTGTAAGGATCATTACCAGCATGCGCAGCTGTAGTAACACCCACAAAGTCCAGCCCAGAGGCAACACGGGGATGGGGGCGGGGGAGAAAAACGTATCTGGAAAAGAGAATGAGGTCTTCATTAGGGCTTTAGTAGCCCTTTCCAAAAATGTTGAATGCTTTGGAAACTCAAAGCTGGAAATCACAGCAGATAATGCTGGAGAAAAGGGAAAGGGGAGTACTTCAGAAATTTCCACGTCACCACTAGCAAGACCAAAAACAATACTTGGAAGACAACTGGCTTTGGAAATTCTATCAAACCAGTAGATAAAGTTTATGAAATCCAGGTGGCTGGAGAATACTTTTCTTAACCCTTTCCTGACAAGGTAGGTAAAGGATCTAAGTGAATGTCCTTGCCTTTAATTATCATCTGTTAAACCAGGGTCCCCAGCCCCTGGTCCATGGACCAGTACTGGGCTGCGGCATGCCAGCAACTGCTCTGCACAAACAAGCAAAGCCCCATCCGTGGGATGCAGGCAGTACACAAAACCATGCCCTCTCCGGTCCATGGAACTGGTCCCTGGTGCCCAAAAGGTTGGGGACCTCTGTGTTAAACCACACAGTATTTTTTTTGTATTTCAGTAAAATCCCAAGGGAAGGCATTATGGGGGAAATCCCTTCCATTTGGATCCCTTTCAACAGCAGGGCTCTTGCAGTGTCTCCACAAAAGGGAAGCCCTGCCCTTCGGAGGTTGTTAAGAGACTTTTCCTTCTTGAAATGCAGAAAAGTGATCCAATACATTCCTCAACTCACACATTTGGTGGAGAATTTGAAAGACCTTTGGGCGCAGTTCTGCAGGTCCTCAGAAAGAACAGGGCTAATCTCCCCATCTCTGTAAGCAATGACATGATCTTAGTTCAAAACATAAAAGTCACTTATGAGACTGACTCCAGCTTTCCCTTACTTGCCCACAAATGTGAGATAATACTGAAGGATGAGCTCCTACAGCAGGGGTGTTCAACTGCCGGCCCACAGGCCGGATGCGTCATGCCGAAACCGCGCCCACCCCAGCTCTGGCAATGGGAAAAAAAGTTGTGATACGTCGTGACATGTCACGTGACATGGCGAGTTTGACACTCCTATCCTAGAGCAAAGTTCACTTTTCTACCATCTCTGTCTAGATTTTTTTCTCACTGCAGTTCCATTTGAGTCGAGCTCAATTCCTGATGACTTCCTGGCCACAATCATGAAGATTTTCTTGACGTTCTTCCTAGTCTAGTTTACATCCCTGCTATTCCCTAAAGTTATCTCATCCAAGTGCTGACTAGATCTGGCCTGGCATAAATTTTAGGCTCCTAGATATGTTGGCCAGGAGTTACTTGTTTCTTATTCAGTTTTTATTTTCATTCCAAGGGGATGTTCTTGCATTGAATTATCCTTCCCTAAAGGCTCCACTTGGATTAGATCAGTGATGGCGAACCTTTTAGAGACCGAGTGCCCAAAAACTGGCCCCGCCCCCACTCCACCCCCTGTTCTGCCCCCACCCCACCTGCCCACAAGGCCACTCACCGCCTCCAGGGACCTCCGCAGATCGCCCAGACAGCCCAGCAGCACTATGGCGGCCACACCCTCTGCCTGCGCCCTGCAGCATCAACTGCATGATGGGGTGTGAGGGCACAGTCTTGTCTACGCTGCCTGGCTGCCATGTCCTTGGCTGTGCTGCTCCGCGTAGGCCACACTTGGGGGCGACTCTCCTCCAGGGGGGCTGTTGGTGAGGAGAGGGTCGCAGGGGGAGGCAAGGCTGGGGCAACGGCACGTGTGCCCACAGAGAGGGCTCCGAGTGCCACCTCTGGCACCCGTGCCATAGGTTCGCCACCACTGGATTAGATCAATACTATGTTCCAACAGAGATCAACTGTATTGCTTTGGAAAGCCGAACAGAAAGGGAGCCTTTGGAAATGCTAAAGCCAAACAGACAGGGGGGAAATATTCTTCCCTGCACCCCTTTCAGGCACATACAGCCTCTGAATACAAGCTTCTAGTTGTGTGCCAAAACAAATCTAATACTCTGTCAAGGACCACTAGATGGTTTGGTCTGTAGGTAAATAATGTATTCACTATAACAAGATTAACAAAATTACCCCATCTGGAAAAATGCAGACCCAGGTAAATTAACAAGTGGTGGCCACAATAGAAGAAAGTCATCTGCAACCATGCATAGCCAATGGTGTTTTTAAAAGGCAATAAAAGCAAAGGTATATACATTCTTATTGTTAAAATGCAATTAGAACTTCTCTTGATATATACCACCTCTGGTCACAATGGCGCTTTCCATGCTGTAGACACAATTAAAAAAAAAAAGAACTCAGCTAACCAACATATCCTGTTTTCCAGGCTCCTCGGTGAAAACCCAGGCAATAAAGTGACATTTCTGTCACATTGGAACTCCCGAGCTAATTCAGAATAATCTACTTTTAATGGAAAGCAATATGTAAGAGGTAGTGACATTTGGCTAAGTTCTTCTTTGTTTTAAGCTCCAAGTGTCTTGGAAGTGACCAAAGTTACCAATAAACGTATTATTTCTGCACAAGCTAGGTATATTACCATAAATATCTACAGATTTTTGAGAGGTATTTTATTGCATTTCTTTTTATTTCAAGCTTCTGTATTCCATATAGGAAGCTATACAAATAACCCTCTCTTCCATTACACTGGTGTGCACTGGTGAATTCTCTTACTTATTCTAAAATAAATATTCAGTACATCTATTAAGGATGGTCTCTTTTTTTTATTACTAGGCCACAGACCTGTAAGAAATTGTCCC